GGGTCTTCTTACAGTGTGCTTCAGGGTGTTTATGCAGGCTCTTGCTTTCAACCCTCTCTGGAGGCTTCTCTTTGTCAGTGTCCCTTCTCCCAAACTGGACAAGGCCTCTGCCATCCCCAGCAGCTGCACCTGCTGGTGCTGTGCCTCTTAGCCATGCCTTTCCTTCCCTGTGGTGTACAAAGGATGAGGGCTTGAGACCCCCATCTCTGCTCCAGGTCTGATATCCCCTCCCTGTCTGGCCAGCTTCAGCTGCAGGTCGTACTATCACCTTCTTGCCTTTTCCCCTTTTTCACCATTGCTACAGGGTCTCTGGGCTTTGTAGGTCCAAATAAGTATACTTTTGTCTTCTTGTCTTTTACAGTGCCTTTTAGAGTGACTTTCAAATGCCCCTTTGGACAGACCTAAGATTTGCCTATCAAGAATGATGGGGTCACTGGCCATAAATAGAGATACAAATTCAACCCACTCTGCTAGCAGAGCGAAGTGATTCAGTGAAATGATATCTTACAATTTAGGCCAGAAATACATCCTACAGTATCAAATCTGCTATATTTATTTATAGCTAGAAAATCTAAAAAAATCTAAACCTATGTTGTGTTTCTGATTATTTTTCTAAATCCACAATAATCTTCAAGAACATTAAGATATTTGCATTTCTTAGACTGTACAATTATTAATCCCCTTATCTGTCTTGGAGTTCTCTGTGGGTGAACATATTCTTGGGATGATCTGGATTTTAGATTTCTCCAGCAGACACAAAGGAAAAATATAAAAGAGAGAGAAATAAACAAATTCAAACTCAGCATGCTGCTTGTTGAAAATTCTCATTCTAATATATTAATTTGACCTCTCACTCTCCATGAAATTAAAAAAGTCACAGCCCTGTTTGATACATAAACTGACTTAAGATAGGGTGTGTGTGTGGGTGTGTGTATGCATGTATCAAAATCCCTGCCATACTAAGTGCTGTGAGAGGTAGGAGATGTGGAGAAGGAATCAAACTAAGGGAAGAAATTCAGGGAACCAAGTATGAAAGGGGTCACTCATGGCTTGAGTAGGTAGGACTCAATTTTTGTATATGTTAATTCTGTGATATCATGTGCCACAGAATTAACTAATGGGCCAGTTGATGCTCAGTGGTTTGGGCATGGGTATATATGCAACAGTATCTAAATGATATTCGTATGACTACAGTTGTACAGTGAACATGTTTGAAAATTGGGGCTAAAATGGATTTTAATCAAAACAAACAAGGTTTATGTGAGAAAGAGTCATCAGACAGAGACTGGAGCAGCCCAAGTGACCGCCACGGCCCCATCTACAGAGCTGACAGTGACTGTCACTGCTGAGGGTACCTGTGCTGCTTTCTGGCTTTACCTTGAATTATGAGTAGCTTTAAAGAGTAGCTTTAGCTACAGAGCCGTGAAGTAACACACTGCCCTTGGAAATTGAATCTCCAGTTCTTCCCAGAAAGGAAATGCAGTAGTATTAAAAATAGGTTACAGGTAATTTTTTTAGTCCTTGCCAGGTCTGGTGTACTGGTGTCTAATTAGTAAGTGTGAGCAGTGTCGATCAACTCCTAAAAATACATGCTGAAGCCACCACATTCAAGATAGCTTTGTATGTGTGTGTATGCATTTAGCCCAGGTGTTTTGTCTGAAGCAGATGTGGTGGGATCATGGCCTCCCTTTCACTGACCACTGCAGCCTTGAATTTTAAATCTTTAGCTGAGGAGAAGTTATTTCTATAGCTCTCCAGAGGAGTGAATGCTCCCTGCTGAGCCCCGTTGCAGACCTTGGCTTTCCTAGCCCATTTAGCCATACTGGTGGGCAGTGCCTCTGGAGTTCTTCCCCAAGGGATATGATGAACCTCAGACACATTTCTGCAACTACCATCAGGTTTTTTTTCTACCTGTGACAGATGCTTTCCTGCTCAGTGTGGAAAGCAGCGCCTGCATATATATGTGTGTGCCCTGTATGCTGCACCCATACTTGGTCTAGTTCAAGTATGCGAGCTCCAGCCCTGAGAAGTACTGGACTGTGACCTGTGTGCATGGATATTGCTGCTTCTTTTTCTGATTTGTTCTTTTCTTACTTCCTCTCTCTCTTTCTCTCTTTCAAAGGCCTCTCACACCTGATGATGGGTGAACAAGGTAAGTCCTTCATCTTTCTCTTTGTTTCAGTCACTGATCATGAAAGAGCTTTGTCCCTGCTGCTTTTCTGAGCTGGGCTTTGCATGACTAAGCCTACTGGGTGCCAGTCAAGCCATTTGCATTTTTGCCTGTGTGTGCCATGACCCATGGCTACTTGTCAGCCTGGGACTCAGGTGCCCAGGAGGGAGCATGAAATGATTCCACAGACAGTAAAGAGGTATGCTTTTCCCTTCCTTGCAGCCCACCAACTATTTTATCTTGCCATTTCTTTCTTGTTATGCCAGCTGTAATGACTCCCACTTCTGCCCAGTAAATGTAGACCTCAATGTTGGTCTTTATTTTTAAGAGTGCAATTATTACAAAAAATATATTAATAGCCCTCATGGCATGATGCTAATTCGTTATGAATCCTGAGGAAAATTACATATAATGGCCTGTAAGTCCTGTGTCTGCAATTTAAAATATTTAAATATGCACAGAGCAAAATGGTTTAGAAAAAGAACAAGGCTGACCCCAGGTTGGGCTACAAATAGGATCTAGGCCTGTATCAGAGTTCACATTTTAACATCTCAGCCTGGATTGTGTACAGATCTATTGGCTGTGACATGATGGGATCATTAGTCACATTTTATGCTATGGGGGTGTGTAGCAAGAAGCTGGTGAGGAGAGGAGTGATTCTGTTTTCCTCGGACAAGTGTCAGCATCTTGCTGAGATGGGTACACAGGGAGGAGTTAGCAGCACTGGTGATGCATTCTAGTCTTGTGAATGCAGGAGTCACATGGTTGAAGACTTAATGCAAGGTGTGTGCACATGATGCACTAGGAAGACCAGACCAACTATTTCTCTATGGGGAGAAAATGAGAGTTTTGACTCTAAAGCCTGATGAGGCTTTCCTAGACTAGGTGTACACAATAGTGTTTTTGCCATTAAGTGAACACGTATCTGAGGTTAGTCCAAAGAGTTAATAAGATGGAACGTAGTGCCTGTGAAGGCTCAAGAGTCATTAGGTACTTGAATAAAAGAGACATAGTTTCTATGTATCTCAGTGAAATGTAGAGAGGCTTAGGACATAATAAGTTTTTATTCTGTAGTTCAAGGGAAATGTCTGCTCTGAAGTCATGAAAGCTTAGGAAACAATCAGAAGTGAAGTTGGGGCTCAGTCTTTAGTTTCTGTACTGCTTAGCATCCCCGTGTGGTGGGAAAGGTAGGAAAACAGGGTTCTTTATGAATGCCTGTCAAGACCATGGTATTTGGCATGTGGAGCATTTGGCTAAGCTCTTGGAAGCGTTGAGCTCCTTCTCTATCCCCACTTACTGTTCAGCTGGGCTCTTGGCTTGGAGGTTGTGCTTGGTGAAGGAGCATCCAGCAGACAGTCCCTTCAGCATGTCCTAGTTGCTCGGGATGCAGCTGAGTATGGCAAGCCATTGGCAGAGGAAGGATGATGGCATGTTGGGAGTCATCAGGACAGTGAACTTCCATGGCCACTTTCAATCCCAAGAACACTTGAACATATCTTTGTAGCAGTCTGTGATTTAGCACTGGATTATGTAAACAGATGTACTTGGCCATTTAAATTACAAGTTGCAACCCAGCTGGCTCATGAAGACTTGCATGACCTGTTCAGGCCTCTACGATTGTCATCAGCCCTTTCTACTCCCTTGCCTGGCAAAAAAATGTGAAAACTATTGGCTTCTGGCAACTTCAGCCACCCTTATTTATCCATGATGCATCAGGCTTCTCTTTTCTTGCCAACCAAGTCAGATATTCCCTTTTGATAAATATTTACTCTCTACAAAAATATGATGGATATAAAATATGTAAATGTATATGTGTGAGTAAATATGCAATGTCAACATTATATACAAATACATTAGCTCTGGTAGGTAAAATGTGTTTAGCAAATATATTACCATGAGATTTATTTTTTTTTCTGTCCTACTCTGTTGTTTCCCTTGCTGTTTTGAATTTGACGTGGAATGAGGCATATCACTGGCGTGCTATTGCATGAGGGGTTTGGATTTCCCAGTAGAAAATCAACTTAAAGCCAAAGGGCTTAACCAGGCAGTTGCTGGTTGGACTGTCAGTTGTTTAAGCCTTGCTTTGTGCTTTAGTTGTGGTGTGTCTCTCGTTTTTCCCTTGACATTGTGTTTTGTTGGGTTTGGCTGCTATATAAATATGCTCATTTTCTTGTTCTTCTAAGTATGGCCAGTGACATCCTTTTGTTTTTTATGCTTCCTCCTTCTCTTCTCTTTTCTTCTCTTCTGCCTCCTCCATGATGGACACCCCTCTTGCTCCTCCTCTTAACTGGATGCACACCTTCCTGTCTGTAGGTAGAAGTAAAGGTAGAGATTGAATTCTTTCCAAGACTTCGTTGCTTGTGAAATGTTTGTTTGTCAATGGAAAAATTGTGGTTTTATGAATGTGGTTCATATTAGAACATAATGCCTTTACTTTTAAAAGTCTCAACAATTTTTTGTATTGAATTATGGAAGAAATATTTATTAAGATGAATGCTTTGAGGCCTTCTTAACAGATGTTATTTTCTCCCTGTTCACACTAAGTCTGGGCTGCACAGTGTCAGGCTCTCTGTAGCTGGTGATGCTGCAGTGCGAAGGGACCATCAGTTCAGCTGAGGACAGACCAGAGGCCAGTGAGCTGGTACTGCTGACTCTCTTGCACTGGAGTGATGCCACTGCTGGGAATTTTGGCACTGGTGGTGGTGGAGGAAGTAGGACCTGGGCTTGTCCAGTACCCTTCAACGATGGAGGTCTTTTGAGCTATCATTTCTCCTCCCAGTTCTGCTTCCCATTTTCTCTGTTAGTGAAAAGGTGTTTTGCAAAGAGAAACTGAGTTGCAAAAAGCTGTGAAGGAAGCAGAAGTGATCAGCACTGCTGAACAGAGAGGTCCATTTCCTTTGCAGCTCAATACAGCACAGGGCAGGTAAGGCAGCTCTGGGGCTCCAGCTCTTCAGCAGTTTGCACCTATCTTTAGCGTGCAGAGGGCAGTCATCCATTCCTAACCAAAACTGTCAAAAAGGCAAAATGCTGCAAACTTGCTGTGGGCCTCCAGTTGGACTGGAGGGAAGGGTGAAGATTAATTGGTAAATAATAAGCGCTGGTTGAGGAAAATCCATTTCTTTGTTCTATTTTCCAATGAGATAGAGAGATTAAAAGGTTTTATTATGCTGAGGCTTACTCCTTTCGAACAGATACACTGCTGAAGAATCTGATCTATTGATCAGCATGATTTGAGCACATTGGAGGATGTTGGGTGTGTCCATGTCAGTAAGACATTGGGGGATGAAATGTCTAATTGTACTACTATGGATTTGGGAGGATACGAGAGCTCAGAGGATTTGTTCACAATAACTTTCCATAGAGGCACAAGCAGTCTATGTCCAGTGATGACTTCTCCTGTAATCCCTGAATTCTGGGAAGCACAATGACATATTAAACACTTTCTCTTGGTATGATTCCTTTTTCTGACGCCCTGCCTTCTTCTATCAAGTTTGTATTGTTGGATTCTCTGTGATGGGTGCATCATGTAATCAATATTATTTGTTCTGTTTCGAGGTTGAAAAAATATTATGATGATTAATTTCATAGCTTTTCTATTCTATCCAAAGTTGGGCGGTGGAAGATAATACATAAGCTGTACTCAGCTATCTTCTTAGCAAGAGGTGAACATCAGAACATCATAATCACAGATATACACTGTAAAAAAATGTGAGAACCAAAAGCTCAAAGGATGCCTACAAAATGTTACTGTGCCTCAACACAGCTGCCAATAATTGAGTTAGCTGATGTATGGCTTAGTGTGATTTAAGGGTCAGTGTAGATCAGGGAGAGTCTTGTATGGTGTGATGTTAGCTCATGTTGCTCCCTTTTTTCCTCGGGTAGCATTTGTGCTGCAGGCCAGTCTGTGCAGGACTAAACTGAAAGTCTTTTCTGAAGCAAAATTCCCACTGAGCTTGTAGGAATGAGGATTATAATATATAGTCCACAATTAATTCATATGCACTGAAACTTAATTTATTGTGTCATTGAGTGGAAATATTGTTTCATTTCCCAGCTATGTGTAGTTTTTAGCTCTAGGTATAACAAGTGACTTCATCAGAGAACCATCACTCTGTATGAAAAATGGTATTACCTTCAGAGAGCTCAAGTGGTGTAATTTTGAACCCACGCATGGCCTTCATCTCACAGAGAGAGAAGGTGGTACCAGATGCCTTAGTGATTGTACCTGGAAGATTCATATTTTTTGGCATTCTTGTAGTTTTTAGTAAAAACTGGCAGCCACTCTGTCTCATGCCACATATGTAGCCAAAGGATATGATATATCTTCACAACATATAGCAGTCTGTGACCTTGCATTCGTCATTTGAAATGAGTCTTTCTTTAATTGCTTCCACTGTAGTAAATAGGCTTCTTCTGCATCTATCCTTTCTAAAAAGTTCGTTGGGTTTTTTTTTTTTTTTTTTTTTTTGTAAGTTCCTGGAAAGCTGAAGAAGATGAAGTGTAGTTGTTCTGGGGAAATGGCTGGAGTAGTCGAGATATGGAAAAGCACCCTGGGTACCACTTGCATTTTAACCTGAACTGAGTACATATTCATTGTTTGTGTTTTTATTAGGTGTATGGAACTGGTCACGGAGCTGAGGTAAATGTGTGATGAGCAGGGAGGACTTTGATTTAGTTTGGCATGAATTGCTGAATATGACTTCTGGAGAGGAATTGACAATTAAGGAACAATTATATTGAGTTTATTTCCCTAACACTCGCCCACAAATACATGCTACCAAAGGAGATCATAAATATCCAACTCTAATTTGCTATTGAACTGAGTTAATGTGTAGTCACGTTCTTCCATATCATTTGTTCTCCTGACAGCCTTTGTTAAGGAAATGATAATTTGCCTTTTTGCTACCTTTCACCATTCCTTTATATATGTAGTGGGTTTTGTTTTATCATCACTCTTAGTTTGGATCTGGCTTCTATTGAGGTTCGTGCCTCCAGAGGAAATTGGCTGTATTCCTGGTGAGACTCTGCTATTTTCAGTGAATGAAGTCCTGTGTCTTCTTGAAGGCAATAGCAAAATTGACATTGACTTCAGTGGGCCAAGACTCACCCAACGACCTCAAAATTCCCAAACATCCCCTCTGACACAAAGAATGACAGTGAGGTGTGGCTGGTTTCTGGGTGCGCACAGGAGATCTCCATAGTGCCCGTGCAGTCTGCAGGTGGCTGCTTCTCCTCTGAGGCACCAGGCTCCTTCCCTCCATCACTGTGCTCAGGATGAAAAACTGCACAGCTGCACACTCATTTTCAACACGAAGCAGTTTTTTTCTCCGTTCTTGGAGAGAAATGAGAGAGTAATGACATTTTTTAATGCATGTTGTGTAGACCAAAGGCTACTGGCAAATTCCCCGTGCAGTTCTCAGCATTGCAAGATCAGATTATCTCCCTTGGTCCTAACTGCTCTTAACCCAAGTAGGTCTTTTAAGTCTTGTAATGTTCAGCATTGCTCTCAGTGAGCAGTGTGAGGTTGTTATTTCTTTGAATTGTTCAATAGTATTGACCAGGAGGTAATGGCACAGAAAAAATGAAATAGCGTTTGTAGACTTGGATAGAAGGAAATGACTCGACCTTACTGATCTGGAAAATAATTTCGAGTTCTTCTTCACCAGTAATACCATTAGAATTTCAGACCGATGTGAATAAGTCCATCTGAGTGGCCAAGAGTTTATGCAAATGTTGAAGTGAAACATCAGTAACAAATTAAATCATTTGTGCTCTATAAATATCTAATTATACGAGGGGAAAACCAACACTACATTCATTTTGCCAGCCTTGGCAGTGGTTTTTAAGCTCTGCTTTGCCCTGTAAAATGTCTTTATATTTGTGTTTTAAATGTGAATATTGTATGGTTTTGGTTTCCGCACTTACAGTCCTTTCCTTAATACTTTTAAAATATGTGTGGTATTGGGTTTGTTTTCCTTTTGGTGGGAAAAAAATCCTGCATTATTATAAGGATGCTGACTTTCATTTTTAACTTTCCTTTTAATAGCAGTTTAGAAAAGAAAACGTTTTATTTTATGGTTAGCAAATACCCAGTCTGTAAAACCTCTTTGATAGAATCAAGGACCCTTGAATATAGATGTCATTCTTCTGGAATTATTTTTTTGTAAGCAAATTTTTGCTACTGTTTTCATATTTTATTTAGGGAAAAAACAAATATTTTAGTGTAATTCTTATAAATCTAATTAGAGATGATAGATAGCTGATGAATTTCAAATGTAAGATATTGAGGGACATTTCTGCAAGGCATTCATCCTATTTCTTTATATTCCCGAGGTGATGACATTTTCTGCACTTTGGTGAATGAAGTCACTTAAATGTTAAATATCAGCTAATGCAAAGGAATAGATGTCTTATAAACATTCTTCTTTTTACACCTCTTTGTAATATATTTATGAAGGCAGACAAATGAGACATTAAATAGGATGTTTCTGGTAAATAATTTTTTGTTTGTGCATATGAGCATGTGTGTTTACAAATAATGTGTATGCATAAAATATTTAATAATGTGTTAAGTATTTTGTAGATTATAGGTAATTTATTTTTTCTTACATGCTTTCTTGCTGCCTTATTTTAAAACTGTGTCTTCTAATGTGTGAATAACAGCTGATTCTTCATTGGCTTTCATTTTTATTAAGAAGAATGATTCCTGTGAGAGTTAATGGCGTTGTGGTTGTGTTGTGTGTAAATAGGAGCTAAAATATTGTCATCTTACGCTGTATTGTAGTAGTCTGTTTTCAATGAGGCTCAGGTTTCACTCTGCCCAAAGAGAATATTTAATTGATATCGTTGAAAGGCTTTTTTTTCTTCCTCTATTTTCTACATTTGAAGCATTCAGTGGTGTGTAGAGATGCAGAGGTAACAAAACAGGCCATATGCTTTGTAAAAGGCAGCCTAATAGCGCTTTTGATGGACATCTGATTTTTAAAGTGCTGTATCTTTCATTAAAATTTACATGTAGAGTAAGGGGAAGCGTAGTGACATGAAAGCTAATGCAAGTTGCACATCTTGACATAATAACAATCACAAGAAACTGGAGATCCCAGATGGCAGCTTGGCCTTTGCCATCCTTTTAATAAGCTACTAACTGCTAATTATTGCACTCTTATGGGCAAGTTAATTTACTGTTGACTCTTAAAGAGACATTGTGCCTTTTCCTGCCATTTAGGTTTTTCAGTTTAGATTTGAGAGTGTTTTTTCCCTGCAGATTGGAGTCCTTCCAACGGACAGTAACAAAGAGGCAAAGAAGTGGAGAGGGAAATGGAACA